GTTCTCACAAGCCCAGGTTTGTAAGTCATGTCGGAAAAGCTGGAAAAGTGTTGATATTGGCCGCTGCATGTCGCTTTTCGGTGGACTGAGCTTTGTAGTGTCCCATTCGTCCGTCTTGTAACTTTTACGTCAAGAAAAGCTAAAGTGTTGTTGGTTTCCGTTTTATGAGATACAGAGAGATGTGGATGGACTAAGTTAAACTGTTGTTAAAGTGTATTAAAATGTTCAGAATCTGTAAGAATGAAAATATCGTCCACGTAACGTTTGTACAGGGTGGACTTGGAAATATTATCACCTAGCTTTTTCTCAATCATGCCTAGATGTGCTATATATGTGTGCCTGTTTGTTTTAAGTCAGCGACTGAGAAGATTAAACGAAATGTTAACCCATCTCGCGACATTTGTCTTCTTTCTGTTTTGATGAGATCAATTTGTGTTGGTTCCGTAGCTTACTGCTGTTCATAACACGGTACTATGTTGTAGGAAACAAACCTGTTGAATATCTGATATTCATCTGGGACTCTTTTTCTTATCCGTTCTACCGCGGTTCAGACTAAAAGTTGAATTAATTAATTTAAATTTAATTTAATTAATTAATTTCCAAGTAAACCAGGATTGCACTAGATAATCAATTAGGTCATTTTCCTTGTTTCTTGCCTGTTTTTCTCAGTGTCAAGTTATCTCGCGTGACAAACACACTAATGAGTGCAACTTGCCAGACAAAATAATCTAACCGCGTTCTGTTGCTCTCACTGAATCACATCTAATATCTAAACATAAAGGCTCACAGACCTACAATGCCGAGATTAACTAGGTTTCCTGGGGCACATTTCTGTTACTGTTTTGTTTATGACATTCACCTCAGTTGGTCGACCAACCTGGTGCGAACTGCCGAGGCTGATGTCATCATGTGAAACGAACCACAGTAACCAGTCCGAGTAATCTCGGTAATCACTTGTGGAGATTACGTTCGGATTCGAGTCATCTCAAGCTTGTTTATGTAACCTACTGCCCACAGTATCTGAAAACAGCTGCGTACAGTGCTTTCTGAGCTTTCCCGTAATATATATATATATATATATATATATATATGTGTGTGTGTGTGTGTGTGTGTGTGTGTGTGTGTGTGTGTGTGTGTGAAAAAAGGGTGGAGGTGAATGGGTTGTCCTTTGAGAGTTTCTGAGTGTTTTATTGAAAGTGGGGACATGAATGGCATTTGGATTTACGACTGAAAGTATTTCGGTTTATCAGCATCTCCTAAGAATTACCGGTTTTCTCTATAGTCTGATAGGGAATTTTTTTTGTCCGAGCCCTGTTTTTCTCAGTGGTCTGTGTCTCTCTTGTGCTGTTCACCACATTCTTCTCGTACCTCACCGAAATAACTTCCGTCGAATCACTCACTACTGATGCTATCAATCAATCATTGCCCCCCCCGCTCCCGGCCTTCTGAAGGCATCCCAATCTCATCCCAGTGGAATCCAAAAGGCTACCCGTATGCCATTCAAATTGCCCAGTTCGGTTTGAGTCATTATACCAAACTGTTGGATCTCAAGCAGCATTTGCTCACACCCGCCGTCGTCGCCGCGGCCAATCACATGGATTCGTCTGTCCTCGATCTGGATTTGACAAAAGCTGTCACACAGGAATCCCTTGTGCGCGTGGAAGAACAGTCACATACTTGGAAACAGGAAGCCGATGGATCAATTCGATTTTTCGGTATGTTCCTTCAATTTCTTCTTGCTTACCACAGATCAAGATGACCAAGTTATTAGTAAGAGCGTTTCTGTCTGTTTACAAATGTAAATCTACTGCTCTGGCGATGAAATAACCTGGCACACGAAGATGACCACACCCACGACACAGTGATTCCGTCTCCTATGAATGTTCCGAACTACACACAATTCCTTCCTAATATATCCACAACGCTTTTCAATACAGCCTTTTTAGGCCACTAAATTCCTCACCTAGCATCGCATCTCGCGAGCGATCATGTACTGCTACTGTTGATTGGTTCTAGAAATATCGTCCATATTGGCATCCGATAACTGTGATAAAACTGTTGTTTTTTAAATTCTTTTGGTGTACTTCTTGCTTTTTATCAGATGATGAATAGATACTTAAAATAAATAGTACATAAATGACTCGACAGAATTGCCCTAGAAACACAGAATCGGTTTTGCCGATTCCAGACACGCATCCGGTAATTATTTGCCACTTCATTCATAAGTTTGTACCCAGGAGGAGGTGTATTTTCGTCACAATGACTTCACTTGCAACACCGGGTAAATCTTTTTGGACAACCCCTTCAGAACGGGTCCATTGTTGAATCAGTACTATACTTAGATGTTTTCGATATATCTATATATATAACCACACCCTTAGACCGAACAACTCCGTCTACCTCCGGAATTTGAATGTTGAAAAAGATGAGTAATCTTGTTTCTTTGACCTAAATATGCCATCGTGAAAATCCATCCGATCTCACCTTTGACTTGGCAGCCAACAAAATCTATTTTTCAGTTATAACTCCCCCAATTAGAGTACATTCTGACCTCAAGGAATCCAATGGCACACTGATTCACGATCAGCAACACCGTCTTGATCGATAGGCTGAACAATTCAAGGCTCAGTTCAGCTAGCCCCCGTCGACATCTGATCTTTCATCCTCCACCTTGACTGGACAAATACTGCCAGTTGATGCTAGTCTTCCATCTGAAATGGAGATTACTCGAGAAATAAGTTATCTCAAAAGGCATAAGGCTTCCGGCTCAGACAGGCTGTCCCCATCGGTTTTTAAGGATGCAGGTTCAACCCTGGTTTTGGAGTTAGCAAACTCCTGGGCTCAGTGTGGAAGAGGGAAGAGGTTATAGCTGAATGGTGTGAATCGGTAATCATACCGATTTACAAGAAAGGCGACAGGTCCCCCTGCGAAAATCACAGAGGAATTAGCTTGATCAACATTGCCTCTAAACTCCTCGCCGGCATCATGCACCGACGATTTTCTGCCGCACGTGAACGATATACGCGTGAGAATCAGGCTGGCTTTAGTCCCGGTCTAGGTTGTATCGAATACATCTTCACTCTTCGCCAAATTCTGGAACATCGACATTCCTTTCGTAGATCCACCATCTCTGTTTTTTCTCGATTTGAAAGCGGCTTTCGACTCAGTCGACTGCTCTGAACTCTGGCGCTGCCTCTCCCTGAACGGTGTTCCCGAGAAGCTTATTTCAATATTACGATCGCATTATACTGATGGCCGAAGTCGAGTCCGGGCTTACGGCACTTTTTCGCCGGAGTTCACCACAGAAAGTGGTGTTCGTCAGATTATTAAAGAAACAGCTCTATCCTCGTGCGAGGAAGGTGGCATCGATTTATTCCGAGATGGCAGACTGTATGATCTAGAATATGCAGACGACATTGTGCTACTAAGTGAAGATTCAGGTAAGTTGCAATCTTTTCTGGATAGTTTGAGGGCGAGTGTAGCCATGTTCGGTACGCGTTTTGCACTTTCAAAGCATAAAATGCTACTACAAGACTGGGTTGGTCCAGCACCCAGCCTCACTCTAACTGGGGAAGTAATAGAGCAGTTGGATAAGTTTTGTTATCTGGGAAGCTACATCTCACCCGGTGGACAGATGGAGTTTCGGCGAGCATATAGAAGGCTCGGTTGGCACTTGTTAACTTGAGACATTTATGTCGCCGTCGCGACATCCGGCTGCCTGTGAAGGGTCAAGTGTATGCCGTGGCAGTTCGGCCAGTTCTGCTATACGGCGCAGAAAATTGGCCACTAAGAAAAAAGGACAAGGATAGACTGTCCGTGTTTAAACACCGCTGTCTACACAGCATTGCACGAATCTGGTGGGGCAGCCGGATGAACAATGCTTAGGTTAGGTGCAGAGTTTTGGGTATCCGCGGTCGCCCACTGGAGCAAGTGGTCGACCGCCATAGATTATGTTGGTTGGGGCTTGTGCTACGCATGTCACCTGATAGGTTGCCATGGTGAGCGATGTTCGCCGAGGCAAGTAGGGGTTGCAAGAAAGTCAAGGGTGACGAAGCACGAGGGTACGAAAACCCTGATCAGGAGTCTGGGTCACGTAGGTCTCGTTGCTCTCCCTAGCTGGGGACCTCGGGATGATCGCACCCGATTGTTAAAGACACTGAGTGATATGGCTGGATGTCGTAAACAGTGGCGTTCTTGCATTTTCTCAATTTCTTTGCAAACTTAGATCACTGAACTGCTTCATTTTCTGTTCGACTCTACCTTCAATTTTCCTGTCTTCTATTCTTCAGCCAAAAGACATCAACCAAAACCGGCGCACGAAAGTGCATGAATGATGGTATTTCGAACGGAACTGAACAAGCTTGTCTAGTTTTCTGGATGTATAGCAGCTGGGTTTCTGTGAACGAACTCGATTCGCCATACATCTGTCCGGCGATGGTCGAAACTTCAGCTGCTTGGATAATGTGTTACTTTTTGTGGTCTGTGCACATATCCTCGAGTAGCGTGGTTTGAATGCGCATTGATATGGTAACATAATGGGATTGAGCTGCTGTGTGTTTGATATACTCTATGCCCACGACTCGCCCAATCGAATAACTGATCGTAAACGTTCTGAGTACAATTAAGAAACATGGAAAAAATACTGCGAACAAATTGATGCTTGAAAGAAAGTAGTTATGCTATATGAATGAGCTACCGGATCCGAAGGAATTTCATGGTATACCTGAGGCACAAACAAAGCGAATGCGCATTGCCCTGGTAAAACCAGCTTTGTGTCCTTCAATTTCAGCTTCTGATTCGAACACGAACGAGACCAAGCGATCCGGATTAACTATGCGTCTGTTGACTAATTC